ATCAGGGGGTAGGGATCAGGTACTCAGGCTAGGACAAACCGTGCTGGCTGTGCTAACTCTGGAAGCCTGCCCCCCTCCCAGGGATGCCTGCTGCTGTGGGCCTTCTTTAAAGCTTCCCAATTGCATGGGATATGAGAATTATAATGAGAAAGATGCTCAGGAGGCATGGTAAAAGAGGTTGTGTAAGTACAGAGATAGGATTATCATAGAATCATATAATGGTCTGGGTTGAAAACGACATTAAAGACCATCTAGTTCCAATGGCCCTGCCACAGACAGAGACACCTTCCACTAGACCAGGTTGCTCAGAGCCCTATCAAACCTGACCTTGAACACTGCCAGGGATGGGGCATCCACAGTTTCTCTGGGCAACCTGTTTCAGTGCCTCAGCACCCTCACAGTCAAGAATTTCTTTCTAATATCCAGTCTAAACCTACCTTCTGTCAGTTTGAAGCCATTTCCCCTTGTCCTATCATTCACTACATGCCCTTGGTAAGAAGTCCCTCTCCAGCTTTCTTGCAGGCCCTGGAAGATGCTCCAAGGTCCTGCCAGTCTTCTCCAGGTTGAACAGCCCCAACTCTCAGCCTGTCTTTTCATCTTGTCAAGGAATTCCCATATTCATTGATGGCATTGTTTTAGATCTATATTAAGGGGCCCAATCAGTACTTTTCTGTAGCCTTTCATTAGTGGTTTTTGTATTGATGTCACAATAAATGACTCTACAGTGAGTATGTGATTGTTAAATACTAGTTAATTTTGTTGGACCATCTTCCCTAAATTAACAATATTTTATTGGCTTTGTCCCTTGGTATTCCACTCCCACCCTGATATTTACTATGCCCATTTATTGCTTAATTTGAATTTTAGACTGCTCTGCCATTTGTCCTCCACATCTCCACATGCTGTATACCGGTAATAACAATAACCAAGATCCATATTCTGAGCTTGTTAACAGAAGGATAAATTTGAGGCTTCTGTGTAGGGTTCACCAGAGATCTAGAGAGCTTACAAGAACCACGATTCTGACACTGAAGTTGCATATATATGCACTGCTTTTAGTGCAGATCATGTAACATCAAGGCTTTTTTGTATGAAGCCTTAAATTCACTAGCCTCCTGATCTCTCTCAGAGTATTAAAACAAATGAGTCTTATAAAGATTAAGTAGCACTTGTAATTAGTACCACAATTACAATGAGAGTGGAATCTATCACCATGCACTATTTAGATATTATTACTATGTATTAACATTTGCTTTGGCCTGTGAGATGAGTCACTGTCTGCATTAATGATGATGGGGACCAGATTGTCTGCTGGTATATACTGGGATAGCCCCAGCAGGGTTACCAGAGAGGAGCTGTCTTACAGCCTCAGGGATTATGGCCCTGGCAGCTCTACCATGAGCCTCACTGGGAGTCAGATCCCGTCTCTAGTGTGTTTTCTCTAGAAGGTAAATAAAATGAATAGCTAACTAGGAATGAAAATTAGGGAAGGAAAAAATACTTGCACAAATGTGTGGTTCACTTTTGGTGATTCAAGTTTACTGTACATGCTACATCAAAACAAATCTTTGCAATTACATTTTTCTTGGGGGAAGGGAGGTGGTTTCTTTTCTGAACTCCTACACCCTGGTTAAAAGCTTAAAGCAGGCTGAGTTGTGCAAGGTTGTGTTGAGACTGATTAGACAGGAAAGCGCGCTGTGACACTCCCATCCGTGTGAAAGAAGAATGAACCAGCTCCTGAAGTCCGTCCTTGCTGGAGTTTGATCTTCCTCCTACATGTTCATGTCAGCAGTCCTGATGCAGGAGCAGCAGATGCATCCAGTTCTTACTCAGCAACAACTGCTATGGAAATTAGAAGGAAGGGTGCAGGCTCAGCTGTTTTTTATCCATCAGGATTTGAACTACTGCAAGTTCTCTTTCTAGTAAAAACTCAGTAAAAACTGACCAGGAGGCCTTAAGATTTCTTCCAGTGCATTTTCAGTGTACTTCTGTGGGGCAAATATGAACAATAGATGAGTAGTGCCAAAAGTTAGGCTTATGACACAAATCTAACTTGAAAAATTTGTATATATATTTCAGTTTTGCAACATGGCATTGTCAAAGATGGATTTGCAAACCATACTGGAAAACATTTTGGTACCCCAGTGAGATCTTCTATCCCACACTTCATTGCAATCACATCGGGTCTGTGAAAAAATGAAATTATTCTCTCAAGTAAACCATTAGCTTACTAAACTTATTCTCAGATATTCTATTTAGATTTTTAGTGCTCCTAAAAGGTGCTGGAATTTACAGTACTTCAGCTATATGCCCTTAGTTCATTTTACATCACTATCACCAACACTGCGTAGCTGAGTTTTGAATATCCCAGAATAAAGACTGGCATTTTCTTCCATCCCTGTAAGCACCGGCACCATCACAGAGTGTTTTCACTGACTTTAAACTAAGCTCATGATTTAGAGAGGGGAACAACTTTTCCTGTAGCAACAGAGGCATATCAGGTGCCAGATAGGAACAACTGGCCATGGTTAACCTCTGATAGATTTGAACAGTGACCTAGATATCAGAAGCAGCATAGCACCTAACAACATGAAATACAAACAAAATCCATAACCTTTATTAAATATAGTGTTGCATTTCATCCTACTGCAGATACGTCATTATCGTGCTGTGGGCAAAGATGAAAATAGCATGCCTGATATTATGTATTTATATAATGCATAATAATGCTTAGCATACGTAGAGCACTGTTCATTCTCAAAACACTTAAAATCATTTAAACCTCAAAGAAACTGTGAGCTAGAGCAGTATGTTGCTTCTATTTGGGGTTTTTTATCATTATTTTTCCACTAAAACTTATAAGTGCATCACGTCAAGGAACAATAGACCTATGGTCAAATTCTGGTCAAATTACTTTGGTGAAACTGCTAATTATCTTTGAAGCCAATGGAAAATTTCCAGCACTATGACCAAAATCAGAACTTGGATCCTATTCATACATGCCATAAAGCTGAATTGTTATTGGATGGCTTGGTACATCTAAAAATAAACCCTTTGGTTTATTTTTATCTCATTCTGGAAATCGGGTTGACATTGTTTCTTACTTCTCTGGATAACTTAAAAAGTAGAATCTGACAACATGCTGCTTTTCTTGTTTTCTGTGTTCTCCTCCCCATTTCCAGGCACCCTTATTTCACAGGCTGGGAAAGCAAGATGACATGGTTTTGCACGGCAATGGTACTGGTGGCAGACTTGGGCCCTGTACAGTCAGTTATCACATCTCAGCAGTGACCAGGCAACTCAGAGTAAGGTTCCCTTTGCTCTCCCTGCACTTGACTTCAAAGTGTTGTTTTTGTGCAGACATTTAGTCAATTCAGAGTGAACTCTGATGCCTTGCAATTCTCATCTGGTTGTTTGACACCCCCTTAGGACTCTTTAAAGGAGACCTCTAGAATGAGTCCTCTTTTAAATCCATCGCTGAAGCTATTGCAGATGAGGTTACTGCCAGCTCCAGCTCAGTGGCTGTTACAGGAGGTCCAGACGGCCTTTCTCTGCTCCTGATTACCTTGGAGAAGGCGGGACGGATTTCAGGTTAGTCTTCAGTCCACTGTCAAATACAACAGTGGTCAGTACAACTCATGGCAGTAAGCAGTTATTGGCCACTTTGTTTGACATTCAAGTTCTGAGAGAAATAAAATTTACTTTCTCTCATGGAAGTAGTGCATTCATTTGAACAGGTCATTGTGGTTGAACTGTTAAAAAGTCCAGGAATGCCTGTGTCAGTTCTTCCCCTCCAACATTTTATTCTATCCTGTCATTTTGTCAATTAAGGCTATTCTGCTAGTTCAGTGCAGTCAGCGGAAAACAAAACGAGGAGTCTGCTTTTTCTGGGGGGGGTGGGAGGGCTAGGGGAGAGATGGAAAAAAAGTACCACACAACCCCAGTCATATTAAGTCTCTAAAGTGGTAGAATGACTCAGTAAAAAATGAAACCTAGTACACTCAACAAGGTATTTTAACCAAACAAAATATTACAAAAATAAATCCTAAATAAGTAAAAAAATACACCCATCCCCTCTCCCCCCATACACATGCTTAAATGCTGCAGTTAGGAGTTTAGCTCAAATCTTTCTTTCCTTGCTCTCCTTAAAATGGGCAGAGGAAAGACTCCTCAAACTGACCCCATGCTCCCTGAGGATTACATAGGGTCTTTGCAACAGTTAGGGACTTTCCTGTTACAGAATCATTTATTGCATCAACTCGTAGCAAAACCAGGAACTTGTTACTGGATCAAAAGCTGTTCTTCCTTGGATCAGAATATGCAATACTGCTGCAGGATAGCTTCGCACCTTTCTGCATCAAGGAGCTCTTATTGTGCTACTGTAGAATACATCTTCGGAAAAATTAGATTTTTGCCAGGGGTAGCAGCTCTATTTAGCACAGAGTTTCTGTTTTCACAGAAACCACACCACTGAAGTCTGCAGAGGGCAGATGCAGAGTGAGAACATCTGTGACCACTTAGGTTAATTGCCTTTCCCAACTCTTCCCCCACTTCTGGTCTCTGGTGGCCCTCTAAAGATCAATGGCAGATCACCAGGCATCTCGTTGAAGGCTTTCTGTCATCCTTCCCCATCTCCTGGGGTTATCTAAAGCTGGGTTTAAAACAGTACCCAGAGGGTCCCTAAGGACCACTTTTAGGAGCCTGCTGTCTCCTTTGTCCCTGGCTTCCTCTCTGTTCCTGGACAGGCTATTTAGTCCCTCTGCTTCTCAGATCTACAGATGAGCAACAGCTAGGAAAGCTTCCCAGCTCTGATGCAGAGGTGCATTATGTCTTGTGTGATAGCTCAGATACAGCTATGATAGGAATTGTGTAAGTACCTGATTTAAATAGTTATTTTACTCTTTAACATGTTTTCATAACAAATAAATATTTTCAGATAAAGAGAATACCAAGATATTGCATATACAGATACATTACAGATACTTCCAACATGCTACACTGTTTTCATTGTTATTACTCTCTGATACATAGTCTTTTCTAAGAATATTAATGTTTCCCAAAAAAATGAATAGCAAAGAAGATATTGTCAATGCTGATGCATGAAAATGATTTAAGCCTTACCTCCTTTGCCAAGATACTTAATCTAAACTCAAGCTACAAAAAGAAAAAAAAAAAAAAGGAAAGAAAATGAGACTTTTTTAAAAAGAAAGTTTGAAACCACTACTGAAAGCCACAACAGTCAAAAAATGCTGCAGCAAATGAAATCAAGGGGTGAAATTCATGCAGTTGCCATTGCCCCAGGTTTCATTGTGGTTCTAACTCAGTGCTACAGTGGCTTGCTCGTTTCCTTTCTGAAACTTTTCAGATGTGGGAAGAGGTTGGCTCTGTGGATGAAGAGACTGGGGGTGTCAAAAGAAAGATGAGATATCAAAGCCGAAGGAAACAACCAAAACTACCTATTTTTAGCAATGAGAACCAGTGCAGAGATCTTTTAACAAAGTGGGACCGGTTTACAACACACTTCTGGTTTTTTTAGGCCATCAGAGCATGCCCGAGGACAGAGCAACCACCCTTACAAGCTTCTTCAGACCATTGGCAACTTAGGTGTTAAAGAGATAGTTCTTCCTACTCTGGAGTAAATTTGCTGATACCATTTTAGAGGCCTTCGAGATGTGCAAGAATGCTCTGTAACTATAAAGTTGTACTATGATTTTATTATACTCCTCCCAGAGGTCCAGGCTGATCAGTGACAAATGCTGCTTTTATTTATTGTTTCCATCTGAAGTTCCTACATGGGCATTCATGGCAGTTCCTCATAATGGCATCAAAACAATAAAAATCTTCAGTTACTCAGAAAACGTGAAGACACAAACTTAATTACATTTAGGGAAAAATGTCAGTACAACTGACCTTGAGACCAATTCTGGCCTGTTAAGTGCATCTAAAACCTTTTTTTTGTTTTGCATATACATGATAAGAGTATTCACAAGGGGTATGAGTTGCTATTCAAATTAAAAGAAAAAGCTAATTTGTTTGCAGGTTTAAAGTATTTGGGCAAATTATGAGTTCCTTAACTTTTCGCTAAGACTGTACTTTCTAATGATTCTTATGGCAAAATCAGAATCTTGACTGTAACTAATAATATATTTACAAAAGCTACACATATTCAGAGCACATATAATTTTGTCCTGTGTCCCTCATGAAAGTAAACAACCCGTGGAGCCTTGTATCTGTAGTTTGTAATGACTCCAGGACTTCCTAATGCTATTGCAGCCTTATTACGTGCAGCTAGAGGTATTTTACTCTTTCATATTTGCCAGGTCTTTCATTTAGTTTTCCACACTACAGTAGATGTCCTGGTGTAATGAAAGGCAATAAAGACCATGATTTTGCTCTATTTTATTCACATCTCAGTGGTCACCTGTTCCTGTTTTATTACTGAACCTCTCACCCTTTTGCTGTTGAGAACTGAATTTGAACATTGTGGGAAAAGGTTTCATTCAAGTCAGTGTCTGAAATCACTGCTAAGTAGTGGATAGGATCCAGTTACCCTTAAGGTGGTGAAATATCCACACTTAAAGTGCTGAAGTTCAAGTCAGTCACTAAGTTAATGACAGACCATCCAAGGGGGGTCCAGAGGGAGCGCTGGAGCCAGGAAGCCAGCCTTGTGCCTGGCTGGAGGGACCAAGGCTCCTGTGCTTGTCTGGCTGCACTCCTCCCATCCAGCACATCCCTGCAAAGAAAAAGAGCAGGCCTAAGCATCAGCCACCTGGCTTCATGGAGGGGGAGGCATGTGGGCTCGGCTTTACAAGGCACAAAGAAATGAGACTATTCTGCCTGTGTGCTGAGAAGCTGCAGCTGATTCACTGCTGGAGTTCCCCTTGGGAGGGACAAGTGCCTACAAAGCTCACTGACACCTCAGTTTCCTCACTAAACAAAGTTGTCTAGTCACCAATAAACATGCCATTTCTGGCAAAGTGAAGAGAATGAGCGGTTTTCAGAATGATAATGGTGTAAAAGTTTAAATCTTGAGATCTGCATCCTTTCTCTTTGCTGAACCAGCCAGGAACAAAACAACCAGGTACTTGCCTGGGGTTGAGCAGGCGTCTGTGCAAGTGTCTTGGAGCTCAGGGCAAAAGAGCACAACCTCTAGTCAGAGCTTTCTGTTGACATGAGTCTGTTCTTCTCAATTCTGATGTGAGGAACCAAGGCTTCCTCCAGCTTCTCAAAACATGGTCTCCCAAGAAAAATGCTCCTACCTTTCCAAAATGATAGCCTTCCCCTCACTGCCTCGTGCTTCCACCCCTCTACAGCTGCAGAGGCTGTGCTGCTGCCACCAGTGGAGCCTGTGTGTGCTCTGTGACTCATGCTGGGCACCAGGTAGGACTTAATGCTACTTGAAGCAGCAATAACTTCCTGCATATTTTATTGCAGGTCTCAGATAGTTTGGAGCATCCTCCTTCCAGGCCATTTTTGTGCTCAACCCATTGCCTCTCTTCTGTTTTGTCTCTTTGGAGAGTGGCCAGGGGATGATGGGACGATCTCTATCATCACCTTCTCTTCCACGCAGCTCTTCAGTCATTGTCCCTGCATTTTTCCCACCTGGGAGAAAGAAGAAGCCTGTAGTAATAACACAACAAAATTAAACCGAGCTATTAAATGACTGAGTGACCTTATCAACAAGAAAGATGATAATAGTAACAACCACAGCCAAAGCAACTGCAAAGCAGATCTTCAGAAAACAAGAATTATTACATTATTACACTTTCAATTTCTGATGACCTAACATTTTCCTATGAATTACTGACCAAAGCATATTCAAATTGTAAGGCAGGAAGTCTTTCTAAGCTTTCCCTTAGTTGGTGGTGCCATTAAACACACTTAGAAAGACATTGGAGTTTGCACTCCTTTCTTCTCTGACCACAAGCACGTACCTAAATCCATACCATGATGGGTTTACATCAGTGGGAGTTTTGACCAAGTAAGGGTTGCAGAGTCAGACCCCACGCAGAGCCCCAGACACAGCCTTGTTCTTATTTGGGATAAAAGCAAATGCACTTTGATGAGCTAAGCAACTAAACTGGGTTAATATCCAGTTTGTCAACAAACTTGTTTTGACATGCTGGCTAGACCATGGCTGTTTACCTCAAGCAAACCCAATCCTGGATTATTTTGTTCCCAGTAAAAACAAAAGACCCTAAAATTTCCCTTGCAGTCAGTAGTGCCAGCTATGTGCGGAGAGAGCCATGAGCTCACAGAGGCCCTTGCCAGGATTTGGGAGGCTTTGGTCAGAGGACTAGCTGGGAACCTCTGTCATTCCAGACTGACGAATCATGAATGCTCAGAGCAACATGATGCTGAAAGTGCAAACAGCGAGTCCACTTATGCAGCTCATACAACATGGGGATGTTCTCTGCCTGTGCCTGCATCAGATGCAGAGGAAGTTTTCTAAACATGTGGAAAACTCCACTCTAAGCTGACCAGTGCTGAGGAGCTGGGGGCACCTCTTGAGTCACACCAGAATTAATACAGCCAGAATAAAATATCCTCTACTAGTGTATCTATAAATAAAGGTGTGTGTATATATTATCTATAAATATAAGTAATGTATAACAGTCCATACTCTTTCACAAGCACCTAAGGGCTTCCTGAAGACAGACATACAGCTCATGAAGTGCCTTCCAAAATGTTTTCATAAGGAAGATCTTACAGAAAAAGGATTGTGTTTACACAATTTATGAAGATGTTTCCAGCCCCAGCTACACAGATGTGTCGAAATATTGCAATGGAAGTTCAGACCCACTGTTTTTCTTTTGTTTTTGGTGCAGGCAAGGTTGTTCGTATTTTTGCAGATTATTTTTAGAATTTGGTGAAGGGTTCAGCTGGTTTTATAGCAAAAGCTGCTGCCATGTAAACACTAGTAACTTCTCAAAGATAAAAATGCGTATGGTTCTAATTTTAAGCACATGAGGTCACTGGTTAAGCGTTCGAGGACTGCGTACCCATCGGACATAAGTGCAAGGATGTGCTGCGAAGTCTTGTTGATCCCATTTCAGCTTCAAGTGGGTAAGGGAGGCCGGCTGGCCTTAGCAAAGGTTTAGAAATAAATGGCTTGATTTACACAGGTGCTTTGTGGGGTTTACAAACCTCCAGAAAGTCGGTGCCTTGTGGACTTGGAGCTGTGGGAGAGGCAGGCAGGACTGCTCCTGGTAAGAAGACACAACTGAGAGACAAGAGACAATCCCTGGCAACCCACTAGCCACTATCAGCGGGGCCCAGCACCCCCGCGGGCTCCGTCCCGCATCCCTCACACAGGGGGCTTAGGAATCCCCAGCTCCCCGAGCCCCGCTGAATTCCTCATCGCTCCCGGGCCTCCTCATCCCGCCAGGCTGAGGGACACGCCCGGTCCCCCGGCGGGCCCTGGCCCAGGGGCGCTGCGACACGCCCTTCCCTCGGCCTCCCTCACACCTGTCCCACAGAACCACAGGATATCCCAGGCCGGAATGAGCCCACAGGGATCATCGAGTCCAACTCTTGGCCCTGCACAGGACACCCCAAGAATCACACCATGTGCCCGAGAGAATTGTCCAAACGCTTCTTGAACTCTGTCAGGCTTGGTGCTGTGACCACTTCCCTGGGGAGCCTGTTCCAGTGCCCAACCACCCTCTGGGTGAAGAACCTTTTCCCAACATTCAGCCTTGACCTCCACTGACACAGCTTCAGGCCATTCCCCCGGGTTCTGTCACTGGTCACCAGAGAGAAGAGATCGGTGCCTGCCCCTCCGCTTCCCCTCGGGAGGAAGCTGTGGACAGCTATGAGGTCCCATCCCACCTCACCCCGGCCCCCACCCGAGCCGGGCCCGTGACGGGGCCGCGGCCACAGCGGCGGTGGCGGCGCCGGCCCCGCCCGCCCACGTTTGCCGCGCCCGCCCGCCCCGCGCGGCGCTTCCTGCGGCGGGGCCGGCGGGGCGGGGGCCGGCAGGGGGAGGAGGTGGAGGAGGAGGGGACAGACGGGGAGGGGAGCGGGGAGGAGGGGCTGGTGCCGCTGCCGGATGCAGTGAGGAGGCGCCGCGGCCCCCCTGCGCTGCCGGCCGCTCACCTGAGCGGGCAGGAGGGCGGAGGAGGAGGAGGAGCCGCCGGCGCCCGAGCTGCGCGGAGCCCGGCGGCGAGGCGGGCGGAGGGTCGGCGGGGCGGGCGAGGCGATGGCGCCGGGCGCGTAGCGGGCAGGAGGCCCCCGCGTCCCGCCGTGTGCGCCCGGCTGCCGGCGGGGGCGGCCGGCGGGCTCCGCCGCGGCCTAGGAGCGGCCTCTCCCCTCAGAGCGCCGGGCGCGGCGCCGCGGTGGCCCACACCATGTCCACCCGCACGCCGCTGCCCACCGTCAACGAGCGGGACACCGAGAACGTGAGTGCCGCGCCGGGACGCCCTCCCTCTCTCCCTCTCCCCTTCCCTCCCGCCCTTCGCCTACTCCCCGGCACCCGCGGCGGCCCGGCCCGCCGTGCCACCCCGGCCGGGTGCCCCAGGGGCGGGCGGGCCTTGGTCGGGCCGGCACCGCCGCCTGCCCGCGCCCCGGGCTCCTCCGTGCGGCGCTGCCGGGGCGGGTCCGGCCCGCCGCGCTCCACGTCGCCCCAGCGCCCCGCGGCCCTGGGCCTCCCGCAGGGAGCGCTCCCGCAGCCCCTTCTAGCGCCGCCGGGCCGGGCTGGGCCGGGCTGCCCTTATATGTCCTCGGCTGTCGGCGCACACGGGTCCCCGCCGGGCAGAGGCCTGTAGTCCCCGCGGGCGGCAGCCCCGCCTTAGGGCGTCCCCCGCACCGGGCACCTCCGCGCCTGGGCCGGGATATCCACTTGTGGGCTGTCAGACCGCCCGGCGCTTGGCCCTGTCTCGCTTTCTGGGGTTCAGCGGTACTTGCTCTTTGTTCAGTTTGCACCTCCAAGACGGTCCCTGGTGTTGCTGTATTCCTTCCTCTGTTTTGCTTTGTGTTGCCTCTCAGAGAGGTTGTGGTCGGGTCCTTGGTTCCTCCCGAGTTCGTTGTATCTTCCTTTGTGCTCTGTTTAAACATCTTTGCGCTCTCCTCTGCTCCGCCCGGGCTCGGTGGAGCGGGAGCACGGTGGTGTTCTCTGCTATGGTGGTCTTCTGTAGAAAACAACCAGTCTTGGCTACGATAGACGGTGTGCCTGAGGAATGCTGGACCCTGTCTGGTCCTGTCCATCAGTGGTGATTATTTAAATTGGTGGTAATGTGGGAGGTGTGACGTTTTCCTCTGGGGTGAGGGGACCAATGTTAAAAGTGGTATGTTTGCAATGTAGGTATTGTTAGTTGCCTTTGGGAAGGTGGCAGAAGGAGGGCAAAAGGAGCCATACCCACCTTCTACTTGGGTGGAAAGTGATTGGTAAGAAACGAAGAAAGATGGCCTAATGGGCTGAAAGTGGTTGAAGAAGATGCTTGTTTGTATTGAATCAATCTACAGAGGTTCTGGTCAACAGTAGGAGCTTATAAGGTTTGGTACTGTACAAGCCCAAGCAGTAGTCTCTTCTGAATAGGCTACTGACTGATATAAAATGAAAAGTGAATATGAGAAGAGGATTTGGAAGACAGAGGTAACAGAAATGAGGTAATATAGCTAAAGAAGTGAAACCCTAGCTTGGCGAATTTTTATAATGAGCTTTTAATATCAGTTGCTCAGTGGAAGTTTAATTGACACAGCGATATCAGCATTATTACTAGTTAAAGCAAATAGATGTATTTGGTCTGTCCTTGCTCTTCGTGGACTGATGAGTTCTGTGTTATTGTCACAACGAAAGTAAATCCTTGAGATGAAAACTTCGATTTAATTAAATGATAAAGCCCAGGTTTGTGTGATATGTGTTACTCATGAGTCTCCATTTCAAATGTATATGGGAATGTCGATGAGAGATAGATGACAGGGACATATATAGGCATATATCCAGTAATATAGTGCGTAAGACTTGCAAAATTTACACAAGGCAAATGGAAATATTCTCAAATGTCATCATCTTTTTTAGAATGAAAACTTCAATTAAAATGTTAGTAGTTCATTTAAAAGATATGCTACTTGGAAGTGCTCAATTTTGACACTTAGGGAATAGTAAGTGTTATTTTTTATTGTTGTAATTTCAGGGAGTGCATTGGGTATCTGAAAAAAACCATGTTTGTACAGGATATCAGAGTACTGGAAATTGCACATTTGCTTCTGAAAACCTTGGTGTAAGTCTGCAACCTAATACTAATGAATATAATCCTCCAGCCAGATAAACAGTGAAGAGCTGTGCAGTAGTAAGTTCCTAAATCTGCACAAAGTAATTCTAGTGCTGTCATTAGTGTGGCGTCTGCTGGGTTTTGGAGCAGAGACCTCGAGGTCTGCCTGTCAGGCAACCTCAGGAAGCCGTTTTTGCTGCCCACGGTGTCCCTGACTTTTGCTAAAGTGGCAAATGTAGGATGGAGGAGGTGGTCCGTTGCTGACTTCCTGATCAGCAGCATTCCTTGATTTAAAATGGATTCTGTGAGGGTGAGGTGAGACTCTTAATTTACTTTTAATGTGCTTCCTTCTGCTAATAAACACTAATGGACTGGGGAACTGTTTATGCTGATGGGTCTTGACGTACAAAGTGAAGCTAGTAAGCTCTGGGTAACTGAGGCAATGAGAAGTTGCAAGAAAAGGGAGAAGTAATTGGAAAGAGTGAGGAGTTAAGGGGCAGGTTTTGGCCTGGTAAAAAAATACATCTTTATAGTGCTTATTTCTAATCCTTGAGTATGTATATTTGCAAAGCTCTCCCAAGTTCTGCAGCTAGTGGTGATCTTCAGGAGAGGCTCTTTTCTTCCCTCTCATGCGTGTGGCCATCTTGGCAGTGTGGCTCCATTGTGTGACTCCCAAGGGACAGACTGTAGCTCTGTATCCCGGAGAGGGCTGATTGATGGTTCTGACTACAAACCTGTGTACCCGTCCAGCTGTGCTTTGCACATGGTGTGAGGTTGTTGCATGAAATCACGGGGAACTACCCTACCGCCACCCCCCCCCGTCTCTTGGCAGCTGCTTTCAGTACTTTAAAATAGAAAATACATAAAACTTTAATGCATCTTTTTCTCAGTGTGCAGGCATCTGTTATGTCTTTTGTAAAATAATATAATAATTGGATATAGCACCTATCATAAGAATATACATAGGAATTACAGGAGTTCCTGATGGGATGGGTGATAAACTTGCATATTTCCATAATTCTTTGTGCCTTTTATCCCACTGCATCCTTTCAAAATAGTCTAGAAGGGATAAGATCATGTAGCGTATTCCTTGATAAAGTCTTATCAGAAAGCTGGAGTAAGAAGTACAGGAACTGTCAACAACGGGCACACAACAGGTGGAGAGAGCCAGCGGTGGTGGAGCAGTGTGTGTGTAACTGATAGGTCTGCCTTGTGCAGATTCACACCCTTTGTCTTTTCTTTGCCTTTTTGCTGTTCCTGACATCTCCCAATGCTATGTTTAGCTTCTCTAGCAAATGTCCATAAATACTTTTCACTGGAAATGTTATTTCTCTTTCGTGAAAGCTGTGTTTAAGGAAAATAAATAGATTATGATTGTCAAACACTTATTCTTACTGAACAGTTTATTGGGAAACTTGGGGAAATTAATGGGTGGAGGCTGTACTGTATTTTCATGCCTATTACCGGATTTGTTTTTTCAAATGAGGGGTAGGAGTGGTATTCAAAATAATAATTTCCCCGTGTTTTGATTTTGTACATGTAACTATTTACAGCTTCCTCTTGATACATTTTACGTAGGCTGTGACGGGTAATGTGTCAGTGCATTGAAACACTTGCAGTTGGGGTTAGTTTGGGTGAACTGAACTTCCCTTCTCTGCTGTTGCTGGAGAAGACAGGAATTGAAAGCTTTGAGCTAGAATCTCTTTTGTTTTCTTTGAGTTGGTATTAATTGAGGAGAGAGGAGCTTCTATATTTTTCCCTTCATGGTGTGTTGTATTGTGTTGTTAAATTGGGGAATGGTTTTCCTGAATTAAGGCAAAAGAAAAGACATGCATCAGTAATATATCCTCCTAAATGTTTTTGGGGAGCTCTGTATAAGAAAATACTCATGGAGATTCAACAGTTGGCTCTGTAATACTTGCTGTATAGTACTTTTAATAAAATTAATAAAAATGAGAATGCTGTAGTTTGCTTTTTTCTGACTTAAGGCCCTGTTTAGTTTGGCATAAGAATACATTTCTTTTTTCACTCTGGTAAGTGTAATTTAATCTTTTGAAGGTATTACTGTTACCTGTGAGGGTATTACTGTTTATTTGTTTCGTGGTCTCACCCATCTAGCTAAGTTTTAAGGTATTATTTTGTTTTGTACTTTTCAGAGGCATCAATGTTTAATTCTGCTGGAGCAATCTGGCACATTTACGATGAAAGAAGGAACAAACAAGGCAGGAGTGCTGGATGATAACTCTGGCCAGGGTCAAGGAGGAATGTGGGAATTGTGGTTTGTCTTACCTAGCCAGTGCTATATGAGAATGATTGAGATGTCACATCAGGGGGAGTTTTAAGGAAGGATAAAGCACTGACCTATGGTCATGTGATTTGCTTCATTATCATACAAATAATTATGACACATGCACACCTGTCTGTGGGCTAGCGAGGGAAGGGTGATGTCTCAGATGCCAGCTAAAGTGGATGTGGTTAAGGATGCCTTTCTGATAGGGAAGGCTACTGGACAGCTGCATTTTAAAGAGGAAAAAATTGAGCAGGGCAAGAGATAAGAGGATAGAGTGAAGTAGTCAAGTTGGGATGATGATTATACCATGTTTAATTTCTTTCTGTTTTTTTTTTTTCCCTTCTGGATTTGCTTTTGCACCATAAGAACACATGGTTTTGATTTGGACAGAGGGGGCGTGGGAGAAAGTATCTGACAAGAATTCTTTCCTTCAGTGCCTTAAGCACAAGAATGGCCTAGTTTCCAAGCCTTATGGGTTCAAGAGTACAGCTGTATCTCTCTTATCCACAGGAGATGGACTTGAGCAAAGTGAGGAATGCCTGTGTTTTTTCCTTGCAAGATTGTTTTCCTTGATCACAAATACACCATTAGGTTGTATGTTTGTTTGAACAGGGTATGTTCTCCTAATCTTATTTTGAGGGTTTGTGTTTCCTCTATGTGGACTTTGTTTTTGTTGTTTTGCTTCACATCTGGAGCAAGCTCCTATGTTGTGGGGGGAAAACACACGTTTAGCTAGAGCATCGTGCACAGAGAGAGCAAGGCTCAATTTGTTATGAAGTATGTTATCCATTTTGAAGTGAACCTTCTATGTGGGTCAGAGAGAGAGCAATTGGACAGGTGATATAGATGTTTAGTTTCATTTTCCTTATGTAAAGAGAAATATTTTGGTACAAAGGAA